TGTTTTAACCAATGTAACAAATGTATAGCTTGTGGGTTAGGGAAACTATGCCAGAATAGTTCCTATCTGTGCAACCCATGTATGTGCACACGCACATTACTGTCATAGCTGTTTGCATGACATAATCCCCTGGGGAACACAACAGAACAGCCTGTTCTTGACATGTGTCAGAAGCCATTTTCTGATCATTAAATGGAAAAAAAAGAAGCTAGCGGAGACGTTCTTCTAGATTTGAGTCCAACCAAGGGGAAGTGGAGGCAACTGAAATGGAAGTCACCATGACCGCCAGCTAGGGAAGGCAGGAGAACAGCAAAGCAATTTTAGGAAAGCAGACCTCTACGGGCAGAGCCTTAGGAGCCAAGTCATGGGTGTGTGTGTGTCTTTTGAGAAGAAGAAACATCGCTATAAGGGCACAACAGCAAACTAGTCTGTTGAGGAGGACGTACAGGCCCCTAAAAGAGAGAACTGGACTAAATCAACAGAGGCAAATATGATTTCTACTTCCAGTCTATCAAAATACAAATGAATAGCACAAGCGGAGGGCGTGGGGGGGTGGCACGGCCCATCAGCAAGACCAGTAAGCTATGACTAGCAAGAGACAAAAATGTTACAGAAGTCTATTACTAGGCACAGCAGAGAAGGGAAGGAGCTGGTCCATTACTCACTGGGGAGGGAAAGTAATCAACAGATGATGCTGAGACGTGTTAAATGCATTTGTGCTTCAAGCCTTGCTAAAAAGGAGAACTGCCAAGAGCCACCTAGTTACAAGGAAAAGGAGCAGCAAAAGGACTTGCATCCAGTCTAGAAAAAAAAACCACAACTGGTTCCTGAGATGGCTTTACCCAGTTCTTCAGGTACTTTGGCGTGACTACTTTCAGGCTCAACTGATTTGAAACCATCTACCTTGCCTCGCCTGTTGACAGCTTTTCTTCTTTCCTGGCCGGTATTTGTGGGAACAGCCTAATGTGTCTTTTCTAGCAGGAGCTGGTCCATTTTAGGAGTTTCCCGCTGCATCCCTGTTATTCCCTTCCATCACTTGTCCTGAACTATTTGCTTCTGCCCCTGGGCACTGAATACTGTCCGTGTTTTCTTCCTGAAAGAGTTACGTGACTGGCTCCAGATGAGGATACGGAACATTTTGGAGAACAAATCAAGCTTTCTTGAAACCAGAATTACAGATAAATAAATGAACAATTATTGGTTGATAAATTACATTCAATAAACCAGGTCTCTTGACAGCCCCGTTCCAGCTAGGGAAAAAACTTTAAAGCATGCCACATAGCAAATTTTCCTACCTGTGACCTTATCTTCAGTGCAGGTCCGAGTTTCAGCCCCATGTTGTTCAGTAAGTGCTCTTCTGTCAGGAGGGGCAGGGTCTCACCATCAATAGCCTGCTCTCGGAATACCTGGAGGAAACCAGAACACAAGTCCAGGCTTAGAAATGCCAGTGACACGTCCCATGCGCTCGTCTTGCCATTGCACAGAAGGGCGCTGTAGGAATGGTAGACTCTAAGAGCCTCAGCGATGAAGTAGGCCCATATTAATACGAGAGGTATATGCAATCCTGCATCCACAGCTGGGAGCCAACACGGGGGCATGTGAATTAGGGCTTGTTGGGCCAGTTTAGATAAAGCAATGGTTTTTTTTTTTTTTTTCTTTTTTTTTTTAATTAATATTGGGATGGGGCATGAAGTTTTTTCCCCTGGGGAACGTCCCCAAGTTTAGCAACCAAACCAGCTGACCTAAGTAAGTGCAACATTAGGAGTAAGCCCAGCTGATAGCGTATGATAGCGGATTTGAGAAAGAAGAGTGACATGCCAGGGGCCCTGTCCCCACTCCAAAAAGGGCAGAAGACATAGGAGAAAAGATAAGAATCTAAATTTTGGCAAATCCTAGGTCACTCACACTTGTGTGGATATTTGGAAAAAGTTGACCCAGTAGACTTCAAAAGTATTTGCAGTCTTCAGTGAGGCATATGCAATTGAAAAGGAGGAACTTGCTTGTTCATGTATTTCCTTCTCAAAGCTGCTAATTTCCAAAACAGTCTCCAGGCAAAATACATAAACAGATCTGTGGAGCACATTCTGCAGGTTAGATGGATTCATGTGCAACACTCCGTTTTGCACTTTTTTTTTCTTTTTTTTCTTTTTTTTCCTCCTCCTTTGCCTGTCGTATATTACAACCTTTCCTAGAACATGCGAGCAGCCTGGAGAATGCAGTCCCTCGTGCTGTTTGGTGGTGACTCCTGATACCCGGAACACCAACTGGGATCAGGGAGGATGAGCCCTCCTCACCCGTCTGTTTTAGCACTAGGCCCTTTCTTTTTCCCCAACGCTTCTAGCAACGTGGACTAATAAATACTGCAGTGCCACTGTACTGACTGAGGTAGCCAAGCGGTGCCCCCTAAACGTGGCGAGATCCTACGGAGTCAACTGCACTGGCCTTTCAGCCGGTTTCCATTAACAATACAGCAAGTCTCTTACCCCTCTCCCTGTTAGCTGAGTGAAGCAGAACCTGGTGACGCGCATACATATAATCACAGAAATGACAGCAGGGCTAGTATAGTCTTATAAAATGGCAGTTCCGTATGAACACATTCTAATACACCCAGCCATGCAAAACTATACCCTTTTAACACGTTCTTAAGGACAGAAAAAAAAATACTTTGTTTTGCCCTTATCTATTTCAAATGGCAGGGTCATGCAAGAGTTTTCCACCTAATATGTACTGTGTTATGACGGTTAAGGTCTGAATACATGGTCTTATTGCTCCATTCTTCATATGTAGAGCAGGGCTACACTTACACCAGTCTCCCCTGGGTGAGGGGGAGATGTACAGGCTCAATACTTCAAGAGTAAACCGCCATCATCTGGTAATTTAGCCAGCAGGTTCCCCTTGGTTCTGGGAGATGTCGGTCAGATGCCTGGTTTTTCTTACTAAACCACACCTCCACTCCATAGCATTTTTTTCATACCCTCGCTCATACTGGATGCTCGCCCAAATGAGCTGTCTGTGGGGCCTGATCCCGCTGTCTCTCTCTCCACGCAGTGGCTGATGCATAGCATTATTATTACTAAACACTGTGGCAAGGGAGGGGGGTTCAATTTACTCTAATGGCTTCGTTTTCAGCAGCAGACCGTAGCCCACAGCCGTGCCTTTGGAGAGCGGCGGTGGCTGTTAGAGCCAAGGCAGCTGAGCTGTTGCAAGTGTTTTTTATTGCTGGACTCCACCAGCAAAGCTGCTCATGACTGCAGCATGTGTTTCTGCTCTTTGACCTAGTAAAACTTACTATACCGATTTCTGCTCCCTCCTCTGAAGCCAATGTGGCTGGGAGCCAAAAGCCTCCCTTCGCTTGGCACTAAAACCCTCCGCAAAAAGCCTTAACTTGAGAATAGTATCCCCCTTGGGTGTCCTGCGGGTCTTGATCCACTGCAGGGACAAAGCTGAATATTATATCAAGGGCTGAAATCGGGCATGGCAACTTTTGTTTTTTGCTGAAGTTTTCTTGTTTGTCTGAAACATGTTTCTAAACGCACAGCATACCACCAAACTCTTGCTGGGTTTTCCTGGCAGGAGAAGCCTGCAGACCAGTGCCAGACCTCCCCGGCAGCTGTGGTTTTGGAGAAGAGAACACAGACAGCTCTGCAGTTTAGAGCCACAGAGCTGGGTCGCCCTTGAACACTGGCATTTTCACACAGTAAAAAACCTGTTAAGCATGTAAGCATAGTGCATAAAAACGCATCATCCCTTAAGCCACGCACCCCCTACATAATGCAACATAGCAAGGCCACAACAGGAGGCTGTTTACAGCAGCTCCCATTATCGTAAAACATTTTGTTTGCGATGCACTGAGAAGATTGCTGAGCCTTTGTCTCAGCAAGCTATTGATTTCTTCCCCACTGGTATCCCAGGCGCTGGCATGGAAGGTGTAAATGGATGATCCTTCTGCAAGGTGGTTGTGTTAAAGATTTCTGCACGTTTCCCGCTGGCCTAATTCAGAAGCTTCCAGGCAACTCTGATCTTCATTCCCCAATGCGGGAACGCAGACAAACTGCAATACCACCAGTGCAAGAGCACACTGTTTGGGGTGGGGGGTAACAAGAGCATGCGAGCAGCTGTGCATTTTGGTTTTAGAGCCTTTTGCTTCAGCTCTCTTCAATACATACTGCAGCCAACACACGTACACTCCTGAACCCACCACCCACCCCCTTATCATCCTCACTAAACCCAGCTCCTGAACTCCCCTGAACTACGTGCACAGACCTGCTGCTTCTCGCTCCCGTAAACACCCATCCATCCACCATTTTTTTCATCAGTGTCCTTTCCCTCCCTCTCTCCATAATCAGAAACTGACCCTTCTCTCTTCCACACACCCAGTCACCCTGATCCACTCCCAAGCACAACCCAAATACCTGTCATTCCTTTTGGGGAATGTTACATGTACCCCATCTCCCTAACAAGCATTCACTTTCCTAAATACTGCCTCTCGCATGCGTGCATGCATGCACAGCTGTCTGCTCCAAAGAAGCACTGGTTTTACAGGTGGTTTTAACAAAGCGTGTTGTGATGGGATTAACATCACGGTTAGGGGGCAAGGAAGGACAGCCTCTAGATTGAAAGCACGTTATCCCGTCACCTGAGCAAGAGCAGGGAGGTGTGGGGCAATTCCAGGTTTCCACTTCCCCGTCCCCTCTGGAGGGATGCAAAAGCATGCACCCTTCCCCATGGCACACTACCAAATCAGCATAACCTGAAGGGAGTCGCTTCCCTAGAGCCAGATAACGCACGCTGCTCTCCTAACAGGCGGTCCCAGCAGAAGCTGGGGGGGGGAGCTTTGCCTGTCTCAAAATGGCTGGGGGCGGGCATGAGTTCTGGGAGAGGACACTTGCCTAACGCAACCAACAGAGAGAGACGGCAAGGGACAAAGAGGGGGAGGCAGTGGCAGATTTTTAGAAATCAGATTTCAGCCAGCCTGGATGTCAAAGCACAGCTTTGCACTCCTTAGCCGTCAGTCGGGGAAGCTCCTCTCTTGAAGTGGCATGTCCAGAAAGCTCGACTCCTGCTCTCCTTCCTCCCTTTCAAGACCTGTTCTCAGCCTAGGATGTCTCTCTGCTGAAAGGCTGGATTGTCCTGAACTTTGGCCCTTTGCCTCTCTATCTCTGCTACTTTCAGTCCCTCCCTTCTAAGCGCACTATATCCTCTTTACAAGGCTGTCCCAGACAGCTCAGGAATCTGTGCTTTCGCAGTTGGTGCATTCTCTCAATGGGGCATTTATAATGGACTCTAGCAGATGCGGAAGCCAAAAACACAGGGTTGGTTTTTGTATTGCACCTCACGACCTCACACTGAACAGGCTTTATGAAGCCCCCGGTACCGATGGATATTTCAACTCTACTATAATGAGCTTAAAAATCACAGTCACCCTCACTCTACAGTGTAAGCACGGTACTTTGACGCTTGTGCAGGCAGGGTCTCCCGCAGCCCTGCTCTGCCTCCACAATGCTGTGGGTGCAGCAAGAGAACGCAGCACCTTCTGCCAGGCTGGCTGGTACCGCGAGCTGCCCACCCCGATCCAGGGACTAACCCGACAGCCCGTCCCACAGTACAGCTGCTCCACACAAAGCCACCGCTGTGTTCAGCCCTGCGATAGAGCACAGGGCAGCTTCCAAAAGCATGAGCTGGACAGTGAGAGGTAAGTGACACTAAGAGCCACTAACTGTGATCAACCCTGCAACTCGGAGGCTCGCTCCTAACCTTGCCCCTACTCCCGTCCTCTCCCAGTGGACTCTCTCTTTCTTGCTACGGGCTTCTGCAAGGCCCATCACACACCTTCTTGGGGTCTTTGCTGGCAGCAAGTAGCTATTTAGCAATCCACTAGAGAAAAACCAAAAAGCTTCAGGCCCTGCAGGGCTCTGAGATACACCCTCTCCTAGGATGGACAATGCAAGTAAAATAGGCACAGATGGGAGGGAAAGAACAGGGGCTTGCAGGGAGGACGTTCCTCCCGTGATGGTCTTGAGGCTGTTAAGAGATTTACCTGAGTGTACTCGGTGCAGCCAGACAAGTTGGACACAAAGCTGCATACATCCTCCACCGTCCATTTGCTGATGTCTTCCAGCGCAGGGCTTTCCTCACCATCCAGAAACAGACCTCCCATGGTGCCTGGATTGTTTGGAGTTGGGGAGTAGGAAGGAGGGGAGGAGAAAGAAACATAAATCATTAAAATCCCACACGGACAACATCTAGCCTGCAATCTGAATATTTTTCTCTAGCCACACATTCGTCTTTAATGACCTGTCAATTAAAGCACTGGGCAGGGTCAATTCATAGGCCTCTTCCTCCTGGAGGTCCCCAGCTTAGAAAGGGGGGCAGGGGAAAGGAAAAATCCTAGCTAATGCATTTCATGTGTTTAATGTTCTTCAGCTGCGGGGAAGAAATGGGGGGAGGGGAGAGAAAAGAAAAAACCCTGAAGGAGTGTTTCTCCACACGCACCGCAAAGCGGAAAACTCTGACTGCCCTGTGGGTTTCTTCTCCCCAGCCCTTCTCCTGGCTACGTGCTCCGAATGATAACAGGCTCCAGCACCTCTCCCTGGTGGCCCACTGCCTTGCCGGAGCGTGAATCACTGGAGAATGTCTCGGCTCTTTCAAAGCGTTCATTTTCAATCCACCCCAGCCTGAAATACCCATCGGATCGGTCTGCCCCAACACAGCCGTTGCCTCAGAATACACTGCCCTCCGCTCCACCGCAGGAGCCGGGCACCTCTCCTGGCCCGGCATCTGACGGGTGATGGGATGACCCCTGCCAGCTCCTGCAACACTCTGAAGATAGCACAGCTCAGTTCAAGCCGATATGTCAATTCTCCGAAACGCAACAGCGGTTCGGGTCCCAGCCCTGTCAGCAGAGACAAAGGTGATGGGTTCAAAAGGGTGGAAGAGAGCCCCCCTGCCGCCCTGCGGCGGCAGTGCCTGACAGCACAGGACGTGCACGCAGGGAGAAAACGGAACTGGAGCCGAGAGAGGAGCTGGAGGAGAGGCACGGAGAATAAGAAATGGCGAGAGAAACGCCAGCCAGGTAACTCACATATCTACTGTAGCGTGTGAAAAGAAAAACTCAGAAACAAGTAATGAAGACACCTAGTTCCAGAAAACGCCACTTTGGGGGGGGGGGGAGAAGGCATTGTTAACCTGTGGAACTCACTGCTGCATGATATCATTTAGACCAAGAGATGAACAGAATTTATAGGGATGTGAATATCCATGATTATAGCAGGTAGAGGAGTTCATGAGGGGTATAAACTGTTATGCTTCAGGGCACGAAGCAACAAATTGCCAGAAAAAGTATTTCTCCCAGGGGTCTATCATGACAGAATTATCTGTTCTGTAGGTTTAAGGTTTTTTCCTGAGGCATTTGATCAGCACCATGGACGTAACCCCTTGCTGCGACTCCTCTGCTCCTGTCCACAGCAGGTCGGACAGCGCTTCTGCAAGTGGGGTGCAACAAAATCATGGTGGGGAGCACAAGCCCAGGGAACGAGGAGTGGCCGGTTCCCTGGGGGAACGCACCAGGTCAGAGGCAGGAGGCAGAGAAAGAGGCGCAGAAAGAGCAAACAGCAAAGCCACACACACGCCGCGTCTCCACTAGCTAGTTGGCAAAGCCACCAGCACGGTCCAAGGTAACAGGAAAAGGACAGGATTTATAGAGGAAGTTATCATGCCAATAAGATGCTTTTACAACAACAGCAGTCTGCACAAGCAGCAGGCAGACGCTATGTAATCATTTCCACTACATTTCCGCTCCCAACTTCCTGCTTCCCTTCCCAGCCTCGCCCTCCGCACCGTTCCTGTAGCTGCACCACCGCTTCCCCTCCCGCTGCGCCGCCTCCTCTTGGGGAAGGAGACAGCAATGCCCTGTCTGCAGCCCACCCCCCCCTGCACAGCACCGGGTAGTCGATGTGCATCTCCCAGCACTGCAATTATACAAGGACCATCGGCCTCCCGTGGAGAGAGGGCCAGCCACTGCTCGCAAACGCCCCTAGCAAACGGGGACGAGTCCGCGTCTCTCCTTAAGCGCACGGGCCAGTGCAAACAGATGAGAGCCAACTCCAGTGCCAGAACGTCTTGGCTGGAGCCGTGGGGAGAGACAGGAGCCCTCCAAAGCCTGCTGCCGCTGCCAGCTCTACCTGTCCCTCTGGAGTAGGGACGGGGCTGTCCCTCTCTCTCCCCATGCCTCGGGGACTCGGTACACTGGCCTCCTTGCCAGCGCTTCTTACCAGCCTCAGGGTGCGCGCTGTGGGCAATAACCAGACCCTTCACACCCTCTTCACATCCTTAGTCTCTACCCCAATCTTTCCTTCTTGCAGGCACAGGGGCCTCTCCCCTCCAGCGTAAGTACCAGGCTTGCAAGATGCCCTGCTTGCCGCTCCCCGGGCCAGCTCTGCCTGGCCGTGACGCACCGAGCGTGGAGAGCTCGTTGCTCCCGCCTCGCCACCCTGTGCCCCGCTGGAGGCCAGGCAGCTCCTCACTCTCTTCACACCCCTTCTTCTTCCAGCTAGAAAAAGCTTCAAATACTTCTGTGTGTCTGGTAACAGCTGCAGAGAAAACGACCAGCTTTCCTGCGAACTAGACGCCTGTCAGCGCGGGAAGTGGAGGCAGAGACCATTGCCAAAGAGCCAGCAAGCACTTTCCTTCCCCTCGCCACCCCCAGCTACCAGACAGACAGACAGATGGACAGGAGCCCTCATTCTCATTCCTATTGCATTCCTTTTTCCAGGAGACAAACTCACAGCTGCTTATGTTAAAATTCACAAAACGCCCAAATGGCTGAGGCTTTTTTTTTTTTCCTTTTTTTGCCGTTTTGGGGGAGGGTTTTTCTTTCTCGGGGTGGGGGGTAGTTCTCTTTCTCCTTTTTGGAAGAGTGGCTGCAGCTTGGTAAATAGAGGAAGTGAAATTGAACTCAATTATTCCAGGCACAGTCAATGCTCGGGCGAAACACCTCCATCTGCAGCCAGAGCAAGCGTCTCTGAGGTGATCTGACTGTAACAGCCAACTGCTTTAAAATTAGGTACTTCCTTATTCCGAAAGCAAGCCAAGGATTGAATTGCAGCAACACAGTGCTCGGGAATGAATTCTACAGTCACCAGCCAGACAGACCCATCCTCAGGGTTTAACCTCAGCCTGCATGGAGAGAGGCTGGTCAGTCCCCACCAGTCACGCCTGCTCTCCAGGTCCCCACCAGCGTGGGCAGAGATTTAGCCCAAATGCTGCATTCACAACTGGCAGGGATGAGGGGAAAGGTTTACGGCTTCCCTGCGGTCTCTCTCCTGCACACATGCTTGCGATGATCCTGGAAGCCCACCGAACGCGGGATCATTTGCAGGGTTACAGACATCACCAGCAGAGCTGGGCTAGCAACTGCTTCTCCTACAGAAGCCTTTCTCCTCTGTGGTTTTCCTTCCTTTGTCTCTTCATGCCCCCAGAAGAAAGGAAAGGAGAGGTCAGGATGCACACAGATGCACACACAGTAAGCCTGCTGTGTCCAAGAGTAAAGGCAAGACAGGCCTGCTGTATGGGAACAAGAAGTATTTTCCACGTACCCACACACAGAGAAATATAATACAGCCAAAATATTTATCTCGGAGAGTTTGTTTTCCCTTCCCATTTATACCAGGGAAACAGGGACTGACTGGTGGAAATATTCTTGGGAGGGGGAAGGTAAATACCAATACTTTGGGTTCTGGCCTATTAGCAATTTCTGTGCCGCAGAACGTAAAAAGCTAGAGCATGGAAACCTATTTCCACTGAAGCTAGTGGCAAAAAACCCTGTCCCCTGCAGAAAAGCCCAAAATCTCACGGTGACTGCAGAAGAGCTCAGCCCTAGTAGCTCCAAAGACTCGGTTGTCATTCTGTGTACCCCTGAAGTCAGGGTTGTGGAGCCCGGTGTTCAGGCGTCCCCCGCTGCCCTTTTGCTCCCACCTCAGCTCTGTCACCGGTCTGAAGTCCCCAGATGCAGGAATAACCCCAGGAAGGACTTCTGTAGGAGGACACAATAGCTGATTACAGTGGTCCCTTTGGCCTCACTGCGTATCTAATTTGCAACTAGTACCGGACCAGCCCTCGGCACACTGCATCCAGTCACTGGCCCTTTCTAATTTTAAAGTCCCTAGAGCAGAAGGGCTCCTGTCCTTCCGTCGCTCCTCGGGAAGACACTGCACCGTCTGCTCCATCTCTGTGCATGGCTGCACCCACTCGCCACTGCTCTGGCAGTTTGGAGAATGATAACAAATAGGTGCCAAGTGGCTAGAAGGGACGCGCCTTCTATTATAATAATGACATGTCACTGGATCCTGCTGGACTGCGAGGATGCATAAAGGGCAGCATCTATTCCCTGCCAGGCCTCCTCTGTCTTGCTCTATGATAAATGGTGGTCCGAGAGACTGGTAATGGATTACAGAGCATTTCACCAGATGGGGCCCAGCGTGCAGGGACTGAAAAGAATCCATCGTCCCAGGCCAGTGTCTTGTAGACAGGTGTCCACGTAAAAGCCCTCACCACCCATGCCGCAACCCATTTATAATTTCCCTCCCTCCTCCTGATATCCAGCTGCTTCAGAAGAGAAGCCAAAGGCTGAACGGGTCAGGGAGAGCAACCCTTCTGGCCACCCCAGTAAGGGAAAACTCTGCTGCAAATCCAGCAGCCAGGCTGCGATGGGGCTGTCTCTGCTGCACGGAGACATGCAAGTTTTTGCTCCTGGCATCAAAGGAGACAATTCCAGGTGCCAACTGGGAGACCAGTGCACAAAGCGAACCCACTTGGAGTCAGCCCACCTACGGGTTTAATCAGTTTTGCTACCACTGTCTAACCCCTCTCCCATTCCTCCCTGTGCATGCACCCCCTCCTTCCCGCACACCGGAGAGGGCTCGGGTTATGGAGCGGCACTGGAAGGCTTGTGTTAATTGCTCTCCAGACTACAGATCGATAGAAGGATTTTAGCCTCCTGCACACTCCATCCTTCACCTTTTCCAAAGGACGGGGCTGGAGGAGGGTGGCGGGAGGAGGAGGGGAGCAAAGCTGCTGAAACCTTGACGAGATGAGGTCATCGAGCAGCCGCCAGATCCCCAGAAGGCAGCTCAGGGAATCGACCCGGCTCTGGCTGCCTCATCGATATTTTTCCCAGTAGGGACAGAAAACAGCTCTCTGCCTCCAAAGGAGGAGCCTCCCCTTGCTGAAAGACCAGAGGAAGTGCCTGAAACTCAGCGGTCATTTTCAGCCAGCCACTTCTCTCTTCTCTTCCCTCTGGCTCTTCCTTTCAGCCTGCCGTGTTACCTGCTTTGTTTAGCTGGTTACTTTATAATACCAGCCTCTGGTGTACAGCACAAAATTGCTGTTGTGCCAGGCCGAAAGAGCAGTCCTTGCGCAAAAAAGGATTACGGAAATTATCTGGCACCAGGGGAGAGGTGGGTGCAGTTCTGTCTGTCTGTCTTCAGGTAGTTTGTGTTCCCCAAGGGCCAAAGTAACACATTTTTCATTGACACACGTTACCCCCAGCACACCCCACGATCCCTGCAGCATTTGGATCAATATAGCCCTCAATATTTCAGTTGCTGAACTCCCAGCTCCCCCATCGACCTGCTGTGCTGCGTCGAACAAGATGCCCTGTCTTCTCAAGGCTGTTTCAGGCGAGAGCTTTTGCTATAGAGTTGTACAGTGCCTAGCACAACAGGGCCTAAACTCAGTGCCGCTGTCCCGCAAACAGGCAATATTAACAGCCAGGACAACATGTGAAGCTAGCCGAAAGCAAGAGAGCCCTCAGGAAAAGACCTATAGCTCTGGAACAGGCTCCACAAATCAGAAGTGCCTGGAAACTGGGCAGTGAAACACAGCTCTGATCTTTGCCGAGGCCTCAAGACACGATCGTGATATAAATTTGAAGTGATAATAATAAATGGCCTATTACAGTCACTTGCGCATTGCTGGGGGAGGGAGGAAACGCATCTACAATCCAGGCCTCCCTGCAGAGCCTCACACAAGCGATGAGCACCACAGAGCCGTGTGCTTCCCTTTTTAATGGCCAGGAGAAAAAGGCTCCTGCAACGAAGCCTCAGCCGCCCCAGGCAGCAGTAATATTTATCATGTTGGCCACCTGCCTGTCACAGAAAAATCGCTTCCTCCTTCCTGGTTGGAAGGCAGCTCTAATGAGCGATGGGCAGCCGCGTTCACAACCGCGGCAGCTCTTTGCATAGAAAACAGGCAGCCTCAGCAACAGCAACCCACATGCTAGGCCGCCCCCCCTTCTCCCTCCTCCACGTGGCAGGAGGTCTTACTACCTCCTGCTAATTGCTCAGCCAAGTAATTAGCTGAGGCAGATTTTTGGCTCTTGGCTAAGCCAGCGGGGCTGCCACCCTGCTCTGCCCACAGCAGACCCCTGGGCAGACCAGCTACCAGGCTTTGAAACCCCATTTTGTACCACCTGTACTCCCTGCTCCCTTCTGGCTCCAGCTGTGCCCATCTCCATAGCCCAAGGGACCGCGCCGCTGGGGACCAGAGAGCTGGCGAGGACTTCCCTGCCTGCCTGTCCCATCCAACAGGCACCAATCCAGCTATACCAGTGCCTGTGAGACTGAGAAATACACCACAGGCAGGGGAAAGAGCCCATCTACCTCTGCCCTGGAAAAGGGGCACAGCAGTGGTAACTCTGACACCTCCAAGGGCATGGGGCAGCCAGGATGTTCGTCACTGCTGGGGAACTCTCTGACACCCCATCCCAAAGGTGCTGTCTCACACACTACCCTGGAAATGTCCCAGATATGACACTCGGCAGGGAGGAAAATGCTGCAGCCTTAATCCTTCGTTTCCCTCTCCTCGAACCACGGCAATGCGCAGAGGGAGAATCGAACGCGTGGGAACCAGCCAGCCACCCTCCAGCCCTGCACATCCCCAGTGCCATCTGCACCTCTCCCTGCAGAACAGCCTCTGCCTCGCTACCAGCCCGCGGCCTCTGCCCACGTCACCCTGGGAAGCTCTCCTGTTCCTTTGTCCTGCTGTACCTGGGTGTTTCTCTCCAGCCTGGCCCCTCCAATCTCCACTGCTTGGAAATGACACGAGCACAGCCCAACAGTCTTTACAGCCTTTCAGGCCACCCCTCCAGATACAATACTTCTGGCCCTTTAATTTTTGCAGCCATTAATAATTTTTGTTGCCTCTCCCTGAAGCCCCCTATAAGTCCTGAAACATGGCTTCCAAAGAAAGCCCAAGCAATTGCAAGATCCCTTAGTCCATCATATTGCGATCTCCCTCCTCATGTGCTTGGGACTCACTTTGGCCCTGCTGGCCCTCTTTATGACCCTTGATTTGCTTCATCGCAAATGGAGCCCTTTGTACTAATTAAAAGAAGGTGCTTGGTTCCCTGCAGAGAAAAAAGAACTACAACCAAACTGCAGAACAGGAAGGGGGAAGAGTCCCACTTTTAGCGTGCTGCAAAACGTGTCACTGCTCCAGCCAGTAACTCAGCGACAGGCCCCCATGCACTCACCTGCATGGAAGTACGGGCTCATCGTGTAAGGGAATCCAAAGGGCAGCGGCTGAGGCGGTGGGATGGAGGCTGGCGGGAGATATTTCACCTCATTTTTGTTGATGCCTGGGCCAAGCAAATGGCTGGGGGACTCGGCGCTCGAGGAGCTGCAGGGAGCATTTTGGCCAGCAGCCGCTTCACCCAGCTCCTTGGCCCCTTCACAGACTTTGCCCGTCTCTTTGCACTCCTTAAGCTCAGTGGCTGAGCTGCTGCTCTCAGCCTTCAGGCTCTCCGGCTTCTCGTCGCTCACATCCGCGTCGCTCTCAGAGTCCTTCATCTCCTCATCGTTACAGTCTGGCACGCCATCCCGCGCCCGGGGCTCCGCCAGCTCCTTGGCCTCGCTCAGCCCCTGCGGCTCAGCACTGTGGTGTGCCGATTTCCGGCTGCCCCGCCGGGGCTGCTCCTTGGGCGGCGTGGCACTGCTGGGGACGCTGGGGTTGAGGGAGAGCAGGGGAGTGTTATTGTGCCTCAGGACCAGCATGGCGTTCCTCCGGGAGAGCTCCTCCCGCAGCGGGTGGCCCTCGGGGATGTCGTGCACGTTGCGCAGGGCCGGGTGGTCTGGGGGCAAGCCGGGATGCAGGCTCAGCGGGTCACCAGCCATTAGCCTTTGCCTGTGGAGATTCTCCAGCTCCTTCTGGCGGATGATCTCGGCTGACATCTCCAGCCTAAATTGGGAGAGGCAGAGGGGGAATGTTGAGGGGGGGCTCTGCGAGTAACTTGCTAACCCCCCAGCCATGCTGAACCAGAGCTTGCAGGATCAAGGTGTCGCCTCCACACCCGCACATTGTTTCCATTGGTCTCACGTGGACACCGCTCTGTCGCTTGTGCACAGCTCATCCAACACAGCACCCCTACCGCTAGGAAAGGGAAGGGAAAATCCAACCCAAGCCCAGGCAGGCCAGCCCTCTACACTCTTTACCTTGCCAGGTTTTGCTTTCGTAGCATCTCTTGCTGCCGTGCAAACATCTCTGCTTGTGCCGGCTGTAGGAACCCGTAACCTGGGGACAGGGAGAACAATAATACGAGGTTATTAATCTCAGCATTGACTCTTTGCTAACTCAGGGCCAGCTCCCCAGAGGGCTAACTGAGCAGGAAAGGGCAGCTGAGAGCTGCCTTTCTGTTCTAGAGCCCATCTATTCCCTCACTCCCAAGGCAGCGCAGCCTGCTGCTGAAACAGGGGACCAGGGAGGCTGGTGGGGATTAAAAGAGCGAGCAGCCAAGGCAGCCTGCTCCTATCACTGCAAAACAAGGGTGGAAGTCAGCACAACAGTAACGGGGGAACACAGAAAATGCGTCTGGGCTGTTTGGCTAAAGGGCAGTTTGTCACAGCCTGCATCTTCGCTCTACCCACTTCCCCCGGCTGATCGCAAGCATTCCTCATGCACTCACCTGGTGTCTGGCACAGAGCCGAAGGCACCCCAAGGAAAGGAGGTCTCAAGTGGGGCCCCAGGGCAATATGGGGCGCGTTCTGGGGTGAAAGCAGAGGCGGCGGGTGGGATATCTCCCTGCAGAAATCAGAAAATAAATTCATGTTGAAAACCTGGAGGTTCCATCCCCAGTGCCCAGAGAGCCCTGGCTCAGGAAGAACATCCCTCCTGCAGATGACCTGCATTCTGTGCCAGAGGCTGTTCTGAGATAGAGAGATGCCTAGTCAGCCATATGCAAAACTTTTAAAAGGGAGAGAAAAAAAGAAAAGAAGCAGAACCAGAAGGGGAAGAAAGCAGCCAGGACTCCATAGGTCCCACATACTTCCCACCTTGATATGTGGCCTTTCGGCTGGGCTGTTCAAAGGGGTTTTGGCCGCCCAGGGCTAGCAAAGGCAACGCTGAAGATGCTGCATCTGCCAGTCCCCTCAGCAAGCTTAGGTTTCTATCTCAACTACCTTACAACTGAAAAGGCATTTTATATTTTGGGAGCTGGAGAGTGGGTTTGGGAAGATTTGAAGGCACCACTGGCATGCCTTGTAAAAAAAAAAAAAAAAAAAAATCACTGTCCTAGCTGGCACAAAGGGTGATCTTTAATTCCGGAGAGAAAAGCTGTAAGTGAGGCAGAGAAAGACACAGACAGGAGAGATGGGGAAAGGGATGTGAGCAGGACGTGCCACGGGGTCAGTGGAAAGGAGTCCTACTGGAGAAGGGGCGGGTGATGCTGGCCAGAATGGGTAGAGCAGATGTCAAGGTGGGAAGTAAGCTGGAAGAGGCAGGTTTGAGGGGTGGAGAAGAGGACAATGCCTGGATGCAAGGCAGGTAGCGCT